TATTGGAAACCAAACGATATAATCTAATTGCAAGATTTGCAGGAAAATTTAATTTTATATGTTTGGAATGATTACCAAAAATATCTACATATTGATGAGAGTTTGTCGGTTTATAAAAAATAACAGTTACAATTTCCTTTTCCTGTAAACACCAACACATCTTCATAAAAATGGCAAGTCTTTATTATTTCTTTCAAAGGTAAACTTAATTTCCTTGTTTATTGAATTTAAAATTCCAACAGATTTATAAATATCTTGAGTATCTTTCCATATTACAAAACAATCATCTAACAATCTTTTCCAAAACGTTTTTATGTAAGCTACAAAATTATTTGCAAAATAATTAGGTATTATGTTGTAATTTGAAAAATGGTGTAGTGATATTAGCATAAGTTGGAGAAACTTTTGTGTCCATTGCTGTACCGGATATTTGGTGTAAAATTTGATTTTCATAAAAAAAAATTTTTTTAAAAACTATATCTAAGCATTTTAAAATGAAACCTTTATTAAACCTGTGTTAAGTCAGTAGGACTTGTGAAATAATGAAAACAGTTACTAAGGCTTACAGAAAACAAAAAGTATTAAATTAGAGGATAAATAAATTGCATTCCTATTTATAATAATAACAAGAAAAAGTATAATTTAAATAAGGTTTTAATTTAAAAAGGACTAATTGTAATTAAAAAGTACATTGACTAATTATAAGTGAACAAAAATACAATTAAAGATGCTGCATAAATTAAAAAGATCCCCAGGGTACAGGCTATAATGTGGGATATAAAATGTGCCCTGGGTTTTGGAGGTGACTGCTGAAGTAGGAACCACATTGTAATGGGGGATACCTGTTTATCAGTATTGATCTCCGTTCACCAGTCTCACATGAAGAAATTCATAAAAAATAAAATAATCAAAAGAAATACAAATTAGGAGAGCGAGATGTAGGTGCTCAAGCCCACAACATCCCACACCTATATCACCCATCACTGGCTACAACATCCCACATCTGTATCACCCATCACTGGCTACAACATCCCACACCTATATCACCCATCACTGGCTACAACATCCCACATCTATATCACCCATCACTGGCTACAACATCCCACATCTGTATCACCCATCACTGGCTACAACATTTCACATCTATATCACCCATCACTGGCTACAACATCCCACATCTATATCACCCATCACTGGCTACAACATCCCACATCTATATCACCCATCACTGGCTACAACATCCCACATCTATATCACCCATCACTGGCTACAACATCCCACACCTATATCACCCATCACTGGCTACAACGTCCCACATCTATATCACCTATCACTGGCTACAACATCCCAAATCTATATCACCCATCACTGGCTACAACATCCCACATCTATATCACCCATCACTGGCTACAGCTTCCCACATCTATATCACCATCACTGGCTACAACATCCCACACATATATCACCCATCACTGGCTACAACATCCCACATCTATATCACCCATCACTGGCTGTAGACAGTTGCGGGAAGGTGACTGCTCTCCAAAGTAAAATAAAAAGAAGAAAATAAATAAAAAAGAAAAACGAAATAAAGTACTACCACCTGGGAGGGAGTATGATAAGCCTACCTCTTGAGATAAACCTACTTCTTGAGTTAAACCTACTTCTTGAGGTAAATCTACCTCTTGAGATAAACCTACCTCTTGAGTTAAACCTACCTGTTGAAGTAAACCTACCTCTTGAGGTAAACCTACCTCTTGAGTTAAACCTACTTCTTGAGTTAAACCTACCTCTTGAGTTAAACCTTCCTCTTGAGGTAAACCTACCTGTTGAAGTAAACCTACCTCTTGAGTTAAACCTACCTGTTGAAGTAAACCTACCTCTTGAGGTTTGCATTCCAGCCCCCTATTATAGTAGTAAAGTAATAATTAGTGGTAGACAAATTATACTAGTATAAAATCCCAATCAAGTTATTTACACTAATTAGTATATACATAAATACACACATACATATATAGACACACACATACAAATATACATATATACACACATAAATACATACAAATATACACACATACATACATACAAATATACATATATACACATACATACATATATACACACATACATACATACAAATATACATATATACACATACATACATACATATATACACATACATACATAAAAGTATACATACTGTTACGTCTCCGTTCGTTAACTGATTTTCTGTAAATTCGTTCCGACGAAACTTTAGCGACACAAGTCCTTTCTTAAATAAAACTGGTTTATTCTTTCTGAATATAACTTTACCGATACACTTATTTTCAACAGTCGCGCTATAACAACGAACGTGCTCAACTTAAACAATACTATCTGACTGCAGTTCAATTACTCACTACCTACTCACACATTATCCCGTCACGTTGTGAGCATCTTATATATATATATACCAGACAAACATATATCTAGTAAATGCTAGAGCACTCCCGAAGAAACGGGATAGTTCTAGAAAGCAGGTGGCGTGACACTAGTCACGTGACCTCGCTGACGCAACAGTATGTTTGGTGTAATTCTACAAATTCTCCG